AAAAAAAAAAAAAACACATAATTGACTTGTTGTAAACTCGAATCATTTGTGTTCGAATTATTCGGATGATATCTTCAAACCGTTCCTTCAAACAAAAAGCCCGTGCCCAAATCATTCATTAAATAACTACGTTGTATTAGAACACTACAAGAAAATGGTGAAATTTCAACGGAAATATATTTCAATAAAATTCCAACGAGAATTCCAACGGATATTTTAATGCTATTATTTCCATTGGAATAATTCCAATGGAAATTCCAACAAAAATATTCCGTTGGAATGAGTTTTCCATTGAAATTTCCGTTGGATTTTAACGATTCCAACGGTAGATTTTCCAACGAGGGTGGAAATAAAAATTCCAACGGAAATTGCATATTCCAACGAAAATTCGACGGTAAAAAACCGTTGGAAATATAGCCGTTGGAATCATCAAATGTAGTCTCAAATTCCAATGAAAAACACATTCCAACGGAATATTTCAATTGGAATTTCTATTGGAATGATTCCAATAGCTTCCATTGGAATATCTATTGGAATTTCTATTAGAATATATTATTGTAGGATTTTCCGTTGGAATATAACAATTTTTTTTGTAGTGGAATATAACATTAGCAACTAATATTTCTAACAAATTCTGTACAACTGATTACCGATATTGTACATCATTAAAATTTAAAGACACAGGATGCCTACATAGATGCAAGCAACCCTAACATAACTTAAATAACACTGTTAAATCCACACAATGAGAAAAGATAATATCAGTATATCTTCAAAGTACGCACAAATACTTTGCATTCAAGACCAAGACTATCATATAACTTGATATAACATAAGTAAGAAATATAAGATTAATAAACAAAAATGGTAATTTAACTCCAGCTATTAGACAATTTACGCAGTGCACTCCAGTAATAAACCGATGCTAACCACACAAAAACATGAACCAAACTTCCTTTTCTTCTAAAATACAAAGAAAAAAATAATAAAATACATTTCATTAAATATTATAAAAACACATAAGTGAATGAAAGAAGAAATCACACATGTGACGAACTAGAAGAAGGACTCATGCTAAGTGGTAAGTAAATTAGTTGAACACTGTAACATATGGGCCTGTCCAGATTGAACATGAATCCACGCAAAATAAATATTGAAATTCATATCTTAATATTATAATGTGATATCTTAATATTGAACTAACAAATATAAAATGTTTTGAACTCTGGATTCTCCGAAACATCTCTCTACACTAGGAGTAACCATATATGTTTCCACTTAGCTCTTCTCCGTGACGGTCTTGTGCCTTCAGGAAAATGACCCTTTATGTAAAAGTTAAAACAAATAATAAAATACTAAANAAGATCTAAATCAAGTAAAAAAAACAACAATTATATAAGCTCTATTTAGAAGTCGTTGCTTTCCTCATTTAGAACTACCCCTCGGAATCTCTCGAACTCATATCATCTCCAATGTTAAAATAATGTAGTTGTAGTATATTACAATTTATATTAACACATTTAGCAGTGTCTTCACTTTTAATCCTATAATGTACAATGTAATCACAAATGTAATGATGAGGTGGACAATTAACATATACAATGTAGAGAAAATGTAGTTCATCCACATTCTCTTTCACATTCTAATCAACGAATTAAGAGATGAGAGAGGAATATTATTACTTTTTCCAAATATCTAATTATTTAATTTTTTATTTCTTATTTATTTTATTTTTTTTTTATTTTTGCCAAGTGGACAATAGTATGTTTGATCATATTGTGCATTGTAATAATTTTAGATTTAAAGTTGTGAACTTAACAAATATTTTTTGTCGTTCACAATCCATCCGAATAATTGACATTTGCAAAATTTATCTGACGACAACATTTATGCATTTGAGATGCTCTCAATGAAACTTAATTTCAATTCATTGATCGATTCATCCTCCAGAAAACTTTAAAAAAATCCACACTTTATTTTTTTAGTACTTTATTTTGATTCGAACCCTCCTTTCAAATCTCTCAGAAATCTTCCATCTTGAACTGATCCCAAGTAAAAAAATGACGGATGGGGTATTGAATCAACAGAAAGATCGAGAAATACCAAATCGGAATGCTCATAAACTCCTTTGAGTTCTTGTAGCAGTCAACGAGTACATGTCGGTACTGCTCCAAGAACGTCCTCCCTTGATCAGAGGTCAGAAAAGAGCCCAGGACTTTTTCGTGGACTGCGGCCTCATGATCGGCCAAAGAGGTTGTAAACTGGGACAGATCGGCTAGCAAACGAATAGCTTCGACCTTAAGTTTTTCTTGCTCGGCCGTACTGACCTTTTCAAGATCGGACACCTTGTCTTCCGGCCGGGTATATATATTGGCGATAGTAACAGCGCAATGTTCAAGCTCGGTCTTCATAGTCTCCACCTTCACCGTAGGGTCCGCGCCAGATAGCTCTTCGCTTAGCATAGGGGTCAGCCCGGACAAAGTCTATTACAATCAAAAGAAAAAAGGATACGATTACAAGAGTAATAATGACAAAAGAGCAAGATACAAAACAAAGGTCGGTCAAAAAGAGTACCTGAATGGTGTGATTCAGAACATAGCTAGCCAGAGCAACTCGAGCACTGCGCTAGCACTCGATCTCCGATGCAGGGAAGATCTTCAATAGATAGGCCGCTTACTCAATTATTCTTTGAGGTAGAAAACCTCGCAGGCTACTCCACACCCCAAGCCTCTCCAAGGTCGTTAGTCGGTTCCTTTCCAGATCGGGTCCTCTTCCTTCAGGAGTCTGCCTGTCCGAGCTCATCACCTTCAAAGATGATTTGAACAGAAGAAGCGGGGGCTACTGAAGACGTAACCATGATCTCACTGACTATCGTTGCCATGACTTTGGCAGCTCTGACCCCACTCGAGCCACCCTCGATGGCTGTCCCAGTTGCAGTTGTGCGGAAACTCGGCGAGACAGAGCCCGACCGCGTGACATTGAGAATAACATCTGCAACAAAAAGGAAAAGAGAAGAAACATTACCAACAATAACAAGAAAAATCAATATCAAAGAAAAGCTAAAACCAATAAGGGGCTAGACTATGTCGGAGGGAGGATGCCGAAATCCCGACAGACCAAACGCCGACCTCAGTTGGGCATCATTGGTAAAGGGAATGAGATCGAAAAGAGTTCCATTCCAACGGGTGATCAGAGTATCATAATGAGGATTTTGTTTCTGTTTTTTACGTTGGCTAGGTTTTCTGGAACGACAGATGGGAGGGAAGTAATGGGCATTAGGAGGAGGTCGGACGAAGAAGAACTTCGCCTTCCATTTCGGAATTTTGGTGGCAGGATCCTTCAAGAAAGAGGCGTTATTCCTACGAGAGAGGTAAAAGAATTGTTCCACTGGCTTAAGCCAGTGACAGTAAAAGGAAAACTCGCGATCAAGAATATGCAAGAAGTGTCGAATCAAGATGACGAATCCCACCACAAAACGGATGGAGTTTGGAGTGAGATGGTTCAAGGAGGCCTGATATAGTTGGGCTAGCTTTACCAGGTCCCTCCACGTGGGGAAGGTCAGACTAGTCGTTACCTGGTCCCAAAAGAAAGAATAATAACCCTCGGGGGGCTGGTCAAAAGATTCCCCAGTCTTGGATATCCTAATTTCCCAGGGGAATTGAAGGTCGTACATATGGCGTAGGGAGCCTATCCAGTTAGCGGTCCTATGAAAAGAGATTGAATTAGCGGGTTCCTAAACTCGGTGAGCGGCCAACCTAGGTAGGCAACCGCTCTTGGAGAGAGGCAGTTGAGGTATCAGAATACATGGTGGGTTAAGGGTTCTTGTATCAAGTAGGAAAAAGAGCAGGGCTAGGGTTTTTCTTAGCAGAGCTCGACGAAGAAGAAAGGAAAAAAAAATAAAAGTACAAGAGTTAAAGAGAAATCAGGACGTACCCATGAAACAAGATAAGGAAAGAGGATGTCGAGAGATCGCTAGAAGAAGATCTCCGAGGATTCGGAGTACAGAGAGAATTTTATTTAAGAGATTGAGTAGGCAAAAAATAAAACAGAGTAAGCTGTTGGAGGGTGAACTGAAGGGTTTTTATAAGCCAAGAAAAGTAATCGCTGAAAAAAAAAAATCAGACCATTGAAAAAACACAAGATTCAAGAATCTGACAAAGAATTCAATTCGGTGCATCCACGTAAACAGTGTACGTGTTGGAAGTCGGGATTTGAGCATGTACAAAGTATCTTTTTGGAGCCTCATGCTCTCCCGGGTATTGGTACGTTGAACAAAGAAAGAAGGTTAGATACAAAGTCTCAGGCATAAAATTCCATTTCAGTGCA